GATGTGAAATACTGGGTGACACTTCATGGTTCCCAGGAGTTCAAGTTCATAATTGACTGGTGAGATTACTCGTGAGATTTTGAAGGGTCCGAGTTTTTTATAGTCAAGTTTGTCGCTTAGTCGTTTTGTTTTGATGTTTCGCCGTATGAGGTAGGCGCTATCTCCCTCTTTCAAGGTTGGTCCCTCAATCCTTCGTTTGTTGCTAAACTTAGTCATTCTTTGTCGTACAAATTTAAGTTCCTGTCGTGCATTTTTCTGGATATCCTTGATCTGTCGTACTGAGGCGACGGCTTTTACTGCGGCTGGGCCTGCTTGGGGCTCTCTATAGGCGGTAGGTTCAAATCCATCGTTGAGATAGAAGGGGGATTCCTTGGTACTTTCTCCTACTGCGCTGTTATAGGCGAACTGAGCTATTGGTAGTAGTACAACCTAATTATCTTGGTCGTAGTTGATATAGGCACAGAGGTAGGTTTTGAGGATTTAGTTGATTTGTTCTGTCTGTCCGTCGGTCTGCAGGTGGAATGCAGTGGATATTGATTGTTTGATGCTAAGGTGTGACATGATTGATTTCCAAAAGTTAGAGGTGAAGATCTTATCTCTGTCTGATATAATCTCTTTAGGTGTTCTGTGGTTGGAGATGATGTACTTAATAAATATATAGGCATATTCTTCGGCGTTGCTTGCTTCTTTGTATGGGATGAAGTAGGCGTACTTTATGAGTTGGTCCATAATGATAAGAACGCTGTTAAAGTGTGTTCCCGTAAGGGGTTCTCGAGACTTCGGTAGCTTGACGATAAAGTCGAGGGATATGGATTGCTAGGCGGTTTGCAGCATAGGCAAAGGCTGTAGCATACCATAAGGTTGATATCTAGCGGGTTTGCTTTTAAGGCAGACCTCATAATCCTTAATCGCTTTTGCCACACGTTCTCTAGTGACCTTTTCTCTATATTGTTATCGTAGTCGTTTCTAGGTTTTCGTGATTCCTTGGTGACCATGTGCGGGGCGAGCATGAAATTCCATGATAGCTTCGTCGTCTAGTTTGCTAGTCAGGCTAGTATTAGACCGCCTAGCCATCATCAAGAGTTTGGTTGCTAGCATGAGGTCTCTGTTGTTGTTTCCTTTGAGAATCACCTGGGTTTCTTCAGGTACCAGGATGTTGTAGTCCGGCCTTCGGCTAAGAGCGTCAGCTCTGCTATTATCTGATCCTTTGCAGTGGATGATTTGGAAGTTAAATTCTGATAAGAATTCCAACTATCTAATCTGTCTTTTATTCAACACTTTCAAAGTTGTGAAGTGTGAAAGGTTCTTGTGATCTGAATACATAAGTACTTCGTGGGTGGTTCCTGAGAGCTCAGGTCTCTATTCCTTAAAGGCTTCAATAATTGCTATGAGTTCCTTATCGTGGATCTAATAGTTGAGTTTGGGTCCGTGGAGCTTGCGAGAGAAGAAGGCGCACAGATGTAGTCGTCCTTCTAAGTCTTGTTGAGATAGTTGCGCTCCGATCGTATAGTCGGATGCGTCAGGTTCTACTTCGAACTGCTTTGTCGGATCTGGGATGACCAAGACGGGTTCACTGGCGATGAGGTCCTTGATCTTCTGGAACGCTGTTTGTTGTGGTTCTTCCCATGTAAAGGGCGTGTCTTTGCAGCTGAGGTTTGTGAGGGCCGCGTTGATCTTGCTATAGTCTTTGATGAATTTGCAGTAGAAGTTGACGAAACCTAGGAATCCTTAGACTTCCTTGAGGTTGTTGGGTACCAGCCATTCCTTGATAGCTTTGACTTTGTTTTCTGATATGCAGACTTTACCAGGGGTGATAGTGAATCCGAGGTATTCCACTTTTTGTGTGTGAAATTCGCTTTTCTCAGGTTCAACCAACAGCTTAGCTTCTTAGAGGGCTTATAAGACGTGGTGCACGTCTTCTTTGTGTTTTTCAAGTGTTGGTGAGAAGATGAGAATGTCGTCGAGATAGACTACTACACAAATATCGACGTACTTGCGTAGGACTTAGTTGATTATGTTCTGAAAAGTCGCAGGGGCGTTAGTAAGGCCGAAGGGCATGACGAGATATTCGAAATGTCCTTTTCGTGTCCTGAAGGCGGTCTTCCATTCTTCGCCTTGCTTCATTCTGATCAGGTTGTAGGCTCCCTTGAGGTCGAGAGCTGTAAACCAGTTGGCTCCGTGGAGGAGTCGTCTCATTTCGTCAATAAGTGGCAGTAGGTAACGATTTTTAATCGTCATTTCGTTAAGCATGCAGTAGTCGACGCATAATCATAGTTTTCCGTTCTTTTTAGGTACAAACAGGATTAGGCTTCCTGCTGGTGACGTTAAGGGTCTGATATATCCCTTCTTGAGGTTTTCTTCAAGGTATTTGTCTAGAGCTTCTATCTCTGTCTGGTTAAGTCCGTAGATTTTGTTGAAGCGTGGTTCCTTCCCTTTTTTGAGGGGTATTTCGTGGTCGAAACTGGTGTGTTCGGGCAGTCTGGTTTCTAATTCGGCTGCAAAGAGTTTCTCATAAACTCTGTATTCTTCTGGGATAGACAGAAGTGGATCATTCTTTTGTTCGAGATCTGTCGTTATCAATAGTTGTGACGTGGCTTCTTTTGCCTTGAGGTAGCAGATATATCGTTTTGCTGTTTCTCGCTGTATCAGCTCGTTTGAGGCCTGGTTTTGACAGGGCTGCTCAGGGACTGAGTCGTCGTGGTCCCAATAGAGTTGGCCTTTGCTCCAATCTATCCGTGGGTTGCTTGTTCGTAGCCAGGGTAATCCTAGCACTATATCGTATGTTCCTAGATCGGCAATGTCGAATTAGATTCTTTCTTTTTGATTCAGGTAGCTCATCTCGAGGGGCGCAGTCTCATTATAGATAGTACCTCCTTCGTACTTGAATTCTTCTCCTTCTGCCGTGTGTAACTGATAGGGTCGCTCTTTTCCTCCCCATTAGACTTCTAGCCTGTTGATAGCTCGGGGGGCGATGAAATTTGCTTCGGCTCCGCTGTCAATCAGCGCGAGTGTCGTTTGCTGGTTGATAGTAACTTCGAGTTCGATATTACCCTTATGTCCTTATGACATCTGGTGGATAAACCTTTTTCTTGTTGCCTGTCGTGGTTCTTCGTCAGTAGGTAAGTCTAGTTTTTTGACTGCTCTAAGTGTCCTGGGTAGGTGATTTGCTTTCCTTCCCGTCGTGCTTTTGTGAGGCTGTTCTTGCAGATCTTAACTTATAGAGGTCTGGGTCCGTTCTTTATGACTCTCCAGGCGTGTGCCTTTTCTTAGTAGTGAACTTAGCATTCGTCTTGTTGGCATTCGTCCCACTTTATATCGTTATTATGTTGACATCTTATAGGAAACTGAGGGCTAGGTCTGAAGACTGCGAGGTGGTCTTCAAACAGTACTATAGTCCATCCAATTATGGCGGATGTCGAGTAAATCTCGCAGATAAGCTTGTCGTTATGTCTTCTGGGGTAGAATTAGTAGTCGTGCTTTTCTCCTATATATTCTTTGCATTTGTCGTGGAAACATTAGGACCAGAAGAGGGTTTAGTGAAGTTGGTAGTTGCTTCTTAGTGCGGGATGGTCTTCTGTGTGTATCTGAGGGGTGTAGTCCCAGTCTCGTTAGGTTGCTGAGGTGCTATAAAAGTGGCGTTGTTGCTCATCTTGAAGCATGTCGATTTCCTGGTACTTCAGGAGTTGCTGGATTCTGTCTTCCTGGTCGTCAGGTTCCTCTTCAGAGCTAGAGTCGTCCACACTAGGGGTGAACCCATAGGTGATCTCTGTCTGAGCATGTTGTCGGGCAACATCGCAAGGTTCGTCTGAGTCATAGGATGAGCTTTCGCCTTCTCCAAAAGTCCAGTTGCTGGTCATACTGAGAAGTTATTGTTCTGTCAGAGGATCATGCTGATGTTCTAGTTCTTCCTCTGATTCTTATTGGCGTAGACGCGTTTGTCGGGCATCTTCATGTGAGGTGATTAGTTCTAGTCGCTGGATTCATAGCATCTCGTTAAGTTGTTCAACTGGCTTTCTGGCGACTCTGCTGTTGCTGGAATGCATCATTGCCAGGGTTCTGGGGCGAGTATCTGGGGCACTCATGTCGTATCCGGATCGTCCAGGGTTGCTGTCCCTTAGGTAGTGTCCTAACATTTCTTTGTCTTCGAGGTGGATTCAGCAGTTATCGTCGTAGCATCCGGTCTAAGATTGGGATGCATATAAGGCTTTTGCAATCGTGTTGACTTGTTGAGGTCGTTTGGCTACTGGTTTCCAGGGAAGTTTCTTAGGTTGTCTGCAGTCTTTGGCGATATGGCCTTGCTTGTTGCAGTTGTAGCACTTAGGGTTCCAAGGCTTCCTGTCGTTAGGTTTAGTCATCATGCTGAGATCTATAGGTCCGCTGTGTTATCTATAAGCGGTGCTTTGTCGATTGTTGTTCCAGTTGCTGTGGGGTCTGTTGTCGTTCTGCTGGTTGTTGAACTTATGCTGGGGTTGCCACTGGTACTTGCGTCCTATGTTAGGTCCTTGTTGTTTTTCGCCCTTTTCTTTGCGTCGTTCAAATAGTCTGTTGTCAATCTTGATTGCAAGGTCGGCGTACTGAAGGAAGTCTTTGGGGCGATCGATCTTAACGATTTCATCCTTAACTTCGTCTTTAAGTCCCTGATAGAACATAAAGATCTTGGTTTCCTCGGTGAGGTCGAGCTGAATGCTGAGCTGTCTGAACATAGCGGCGTACTCCTTAGTTGACTTAGTCTGTCGCAGTTGTGCGAGATCTCTTTCAGCTTGTCGCTTTTCATCGGGGTCCTAGAAGAGAGATCGTAGGGCATCTTCGAATCCCTGAAAACTGCTGTAGATGTCTTGGGTCTCGGTGGAGCACTCGTCCAGGGTTTCGTACTTGAGGAATTCTTCCTGGATAGGTTCAAACTATTTGAGGGCTCTTCCTCGTAGGTAAGTGGCAGCATGGACGACTTTCTCGGTTTGACTGGTGAAGTCTCCATAGTGGAAGTTTTGGTAGTTCTTGACTTAGATCAGGAATGACTTGAGTTGTCCAGGGGTGCCGTCGTAGGTGATAGGGGCACTGAGTTTGAGCTTCTGTCGTCCTCCAATAGGGGTAGTGACAATATTGGCGGCAGCTCGAAGGGTATTAAGTTCTTCCTGGAGTTCTTGGACCTTCTTGAGGTTGGCGTCACCCCTGATGTCTTTCTCAAGCTTCTTATAAGCTTGTCCGGCGTTTTGGAGTTGCTCGTTAAGGCTGTTCATGGCCTGCTTGCTTTCATTAACGAAGGTTTGCATCTCCTTGGATTCGGCGTCTTGTTTCTGGATGATGCGCCGGAGTTTTTCGTAACCTTCTTTGGTGAAGGAAACTTCTCCGTCGGAGTCGTACTTAAGGTCCGGCATGTCGTAGTCTTCGACGCTGGCAAGTTCCTGCGCCAGACTCTGAGGCTGGTTGCGCGAGGAAGATGAAGATCCCAGGGTAGGGGACTTGGCTGAAGCGCGAGAAGACATATTTGTCGTTTTTACTGTTAGTAGGTGTCAATGGTCAACTTACTGAACAGGAGCAATCAAAGTGTTACGGTCAGCTATCCGACAGTAGGGTCTGCTAACAGAAGCTGGGGATTGACACGTTATAACAGTTCACTGAGGTCGTGGTCTGAGTCGTAGGTCGTAGGCTGATAGTAGATTGGTCGTCAGAGGCTAAGGTGATCAGTCTTAGGCTCAACAAGTAATTCGCAGTGAAGGTAAGCTGAGAGTATCCGTGAGGATGAATACTAAGTTGATTGCTGAAGAGCTATGGAGGTCTGACCATAAGCCAGGCTCAGGGTCATACTATATACAGGTTCCGAACAGTTCCTTACGATGCTGGATAGCTGGGATAGCTCATATCCAACATATCCATGGATAGCTAGGATAGCTCATATCCAACATATCCATCCTTATCTTATGTCCGTACTGTTCCCGAAGTCACGTGACATTTACCATAGTTCTTCCTTTCCCGATGGTTTCTGGTTACACCTGTGTCACTGCTTACATATGTTCCGCGTTAGCCGCCGAGATCCCAGGCGGGGTTGTTCCAACGTGTTGTGCCTAACGGGTCGTAACAAGAGGCTATGCACCTGTATCATTCAAAGCACCTACGACTTAACGCTTAGTGGCTATCTAGGAAGAGATAACACCCTCGCGCTGGTTAGTAGACGGTTTTACTGGCCTGGTTAGTTGCACCTAATATGGCGTTTCTGCTGTAACTGCGATAGTTGTAGGCGCAGTTATATCTAGAGGGAACGTCGTAAGGGACTTCTGAAACCACTACTGATACCACAGCGTATATAAAGCGACCTCGCTATAGATTTTATTACTAGCCTTCCCCTTATAGATAAGGGTGAGAGATATCTTTAGGTAATTATCAACCGGCTAGGTAAAGGCGTAACCCTTAAGGCGATAGAAAGCATAGAAGCTGAAGCCTGCGCTGAACGATTCCTGAACTGCTACTTCAGGTTTTACAGCATCCCTACGTTAATTATGAGCGACAGAGGGAGCAACTAGACAAGCTGCTTCTGGCAGCAGTTCTGCAAGCTTTTAGAAATAGAGCAGCAGCTTAGCACCACCTACCACCTGCAGACTGATAGAGCCCTAGAGAGGATAAACCAGGAGATCTAGGCCTACCTATATAACTACGCCACCTACTTACAGAAGGACTGGGCATATAACCTTCCAGCAGCTCAGCTAGCGCTTTATAGCTGCGATAATAGCGCTATTAGGATGAGTAGCTTCTTCCTAGAGCATAGATATAACCCAGAGCCTATTAAGGTCAAGGAAGCAGGCCCAGCAAGCCCTGAGGGCACCTCTGAGGGCTAAGCACGCAAGTTAGTAATAAGGCTTCAAGATGTGATAGATATAGCCTAATCAACCCTCGCCTCAAGATAGCAACGCTATAAGAAGCTGACTAATAAGAAGCGCCAGCCTACAGAGAGACTAGAAGTAGGCGACAAAGTCTAGCTTCATATAGGTTATTACAGATCCCCTAGGCCTTATAAGAAACTGGATTAGTTACACCATAAGTACACAGTTATAAAAGTCATCTCACTATATATAGTAGAGCTTGATATACCAGCAGCTATATACCCACGCTTCTATATAGATATTCTGAAGCGCGCAGATAACAACCCCTTACCTAGTCAAACGTTAGATGATGAGCAGCCGCCACTAATTATAGACGATAAAGGCGAAGAGACCTAGAGTGTAGAGAGTATTAACGCTGCTACCTAGAAGCGTCGAGGGTGCAGGCGACGCCGCGAAGTTCTGGTTAAGTGTAGAGAGGACCTAGGAGCCTGTCGAGACGCTCCAGGGGACAGAAGCAATAGAGGCTTACGAACGCCGTTATGGCTCTGCGATGGAGCACGATGGAGACCTAGCCTTAGCGCTGCGGGCGCGCCGCCGGAGGGGAGCGGGGGGGTGATGTCACAGGCTAGAGCCTGGATTGATATCTCCGGCTTCGCCGGAGCAGTTACTGAGATCCGGCTCCGTTGGACCCACTATTCTGCCGCAGTATGCCGCCTAACCCAGCCTGCTTCACCGCTGTTAGGTGCCTACTCTTGTAAAGTCCTTTCTTCCTTCTTCAGCTTAGAATAGTCAATCGACAGCACCTCTACGTTGAACAAGCCTAGGGGCCAGCCCCTTACATCTAGCAAATTAATAAAATTAGGACTACACCCCTCAGCTATATATAGAAGACTATCCCATATTAAGAAGTAACTATTAACTTCACTAAACCCTCTTCTAGCCTTAGTGTTTTCATAGTGAATATAAAAAATATATAGGAGAAAAACATAATTACTAATTTTACCTTAGAAGATATAATAATAAGTCTATCTATAAGATCTACTTAACTTCTACTATAAGTAGATAGATTATAGTACTATTTAAAGATAACCTTACAATCTTTAGATTTAGCTTTTAGTTTCCTATAAGATAATAATATAATAATCATATAAAGTAGGATAAATATTAATAAGATAAATGCTAAGTATATTACTAAGATAAATGTTACGGTCAGCTATCCGACAGTAGGGTCTGCTAACAGAAGCTGGGGATTAATACGTTCTAACAGTATACTGGGTTGTGGTTGTGGGTCGTAGGCTGTAGTAGATTAGTTCTTCAGAGGCTAAGGTGATTAGTCTTAGACTTAATAAGTGATTTGCAGTGAAGGTAAGCTGAGAGTATCTGTGAGGATGAATACTAAGTTGATTGCTGAAGAGCTATAGAAGTCTGACCATAAGCTAGGCTTAGGGTTATACTATATATAAGTCTAAGGTAGTTTCCTTATTCTGAGGACTGATGTCTTTCTGAGCGGTCTCTGGGTGTAGACTGCTTTCTCTATGTTGGTCCTAAGTCAGGACTGCTTATCTTTTGTCGGTCCTTCTTATCATTATGTGACTTATACTATAGTTCTTCCGTGCTAAGTGAGTTCCTGTTGTTCCTGTGATCCTGCAGTATAAATGTCCTATCCTAGCCGCCCGACGCCTAAGTGTGTCGGTCAACTGTTATCTATGCATAACAGGTCGTAACATCAGGTCCCCTCTCCAAAGGTCTTGTCCTCAAGACCTAACATAAGTAGGTCGTTGGTCCCAGGTTAGGGATCCATCAATCGTGCTTCCTGATTTACCTATGATGCTGACACACTATATCAGGTTGCGTTCAAAAATCGAAATCGAGTTCTACCTCTACTCTTCGTCGTCGCAATCGTGCGCTGCGTATTGCTGAGTTTGGTTTTGTTGTTGATATACCTTGTTCTTACTGTCGTTCCGCAGGGAAGCGTTGCAAGCTTCTTCCGGGCGGTGAAGTTTGTGGCGAATATACTCGCTTAGGGCAGTCTTATGATGCAGCGGCAGACGCTATTTATGCTCGTACGTTTTGTGTTTCCTTATGTTTCGTGGTTGGTGCTGACTTTCTCGTAGTTAATCGCTTGTTGGACGAAGCAGCTCGTTTGGAGGATGCAGAGGTGGCTGAAGAGGAGGTGTTAAGAAAGAAGGCTGCTGCCTTGCGTGCCGCGCAGGCTGAGTTGGACAAGTCCATGGCGCGGTTGGATCGTTTGCATAAGCAGAAGAGAATGGTGTTTCGGAAAGGTCGGGAGGTTACCAAGGAGGAGCTAGTAGCGTCTCCTGTATCAGAGGTTCAGTCTATAGGTGGCTTTAGTACGATAGACCTAGACTTGATTCTTAACTGGAATCCTAGCACTCCAAACTTCTTATCGGAGGCGTCTTAGTTGATTTCTGGTGTCCCTAGGCGGATAAATAGTTTTCCTTGTCGCAGCTGATCTACTTCAGTAGGTGGTCTGGTGAAGTGGTGTGGGTGCTTGATCCGCTTATATCCACCGTTCTTTTTGGCTAGTATAACAGGTGCTAGTGTGACTTCTCGTTCTTAGTGTTGTTGCCAGTAGATCGTGAGTTCTTCTGCTGCGTTAGTGATATTTTTAGCTGGTTCCTATATGTTGTCTTTATGTCTGTATCCTTTCTATTTGACGAGGTATTAATACCCTTCTGGTTCTTTGAGGTGGTCGATAATCCGTTCGACTTCATACTCTGGTTCGTTATCTTCGATAATAATAATATTGTTTGTCTGTGATCTACGTGGTGCTGGTTTGAGGAGTGAGACATAGAATACTAGGTGACACTTCATGGTTTCTAGGAGTCCTAGTTTGTAGTTGACTAGTGAGATTACTCGTGAAATTTTGAAAGGTCTGAGTTTTTTATAGTTGAGTTTGTCGTTTAGTCGCTTTGTTTTGATGTTTCGCTATATGAGATAGGCGCTATCTCCCTCTTTTAAGGTTGGTCCCTCAATCCTTCGTTTGTTGCTGAATTTTGTTATTCTTTGTTGTATGAATTTGAGTTCTTTACGTGTGTTTTCCTGGATATCCTTAATTTGGCGTATTAAGGCGACGGCTTTTACTGCAGCTGGGCCTGTTTGGGGTTCTCTATAGGCGGTTGGTTTGAATCTGTAGTTGAGGTAGAAGGGGGATTCCTTAGTACTTTCTCCTACTGCGCTGTTATAGGCGAACTGGGCTATTAGTAGCAATACAACCTAATTGTCTTAGTTGTAGTTGACGTAGGCGTGGAGATATGTTTCGAGGATTTAGTTGATTCGTTCTGTTTGTCCGTCGGTTTGCAGGTGGAATGCAGTAGATATTAATTGTTTGATGCTGAGTTGCGATATGATTGACTTCCAGAATTTAGAAGTGAAGATCTTATCTCTGTCTGATATAATCTCTCTGGGCGTTCTATGGTTGGCGATGATGTACTTAAGAAATATATAGGCATATTCTTCAGCGTTACTTGCTTCTTTGTATAGGATGAAGTAGGCGTACTTCGTGAGTCGGTCTATAATAACAAGAACGCTGTTAAAGTGTGTTCCTATAAGGGGTTCTTAAGACTTCAGTAGTTTGACGATGAAGTCGAGGGATATGGATTGCCAGGCGGTTTGCAGCACAGGCAGGGGTTGTAGCATACCATAAG